TTCCCTAATGCATCCTTGGCAGCAATTTTTAATTTTTATTTTGTGAAAAGATCTTGCTAAGTTGCCCAGGCTGGGTTTAAACTTGCCTGCTGTACTCTTTAGAAGTTACCAGAAAGAACAGAACAATGTGATACACTGAAAGAAAGTATTTGCCAGTCACATATCTGAGAAAATAACCCAGTAAAAAATGCGGAAGATTTGAATTAAAAGTTTGCAAAACAAAACAAAACACCCAAATATATTCAGAGGACAATTAAACACCAAGAAAGATGCCCAACCTCTTTAGTCCTTAGGAAAAGACAAAGTAAAACAACTATGATTAGATTAACCACTGTTCATCCCTTAGAATGAAAGAGAAACAAAGAAGGTAAAACTCTTCTTCTTTCACTTGACAGATTTTTATGAAGGAAAAACATTTTTGGTATTGTGACACACTCACAGGAAACAGAAATTTCACAATGTACAAGTGCATTTTTAGATATATAGCATGATCATTTTTTATCATTAAAAGAGTGCTGTCAGCCCATTGATTTTAAGAACCCTCATTAGGATATGATTTATAGTTTAAAGGAAAAAAAGACTTTAGGCCTGTTTAGAGTATGATATATATTTTTTTAATTCTAGAACCTCAACTCTGACCTTCTAAATGAAACTTATTTTACTCAGTTGTAACATAGCATTTATTTAGCAATGCTGTGTTGGATCAAACTGTGGAATTAGGTGAGGTTTAGCTGGGTCGTTTTCCCTGTGTTGGAGATGTACTATGGTAAAAATTTTGTTAATTCTTCACTATGAAACATTTGGTTGAGAAATAGATTGGTTTGAATTGTTTGATTAGGGAAAAGATTATACTCGCCAGGATGATCAAAGAGCCCTAACTTTTTTTCTTTTCTCTATGTCTTAAGGATTCTTCAGGCTCATTAGTGCAGAAGGCTTCCCACACAGTTTTTGTTTTCTTATTTTAAACAGCTAGGATAATACTGAATTTCAAAACCAAGATAGAGAGAAATACCCCATAGTTGATATACTGCATACTGTAGTTCTCAAAACAGATCCTCAGACTGGTGGCCCCAGGCCTGTAAAGTCAAATCAGACAATACAAGCATTAAGTTGTTTTTTAAACCCCAGTTGCAGTCGTCCCAGCCTGTGTTTCTCTTGAGTCGCCTGGTGGCCTAGTGCAGTGGGGGCATTGGGAGGTGGACACTTCCTTGTCTCTCAGCCCAATTCTAATCCTCCCAACTCAGGCCTGGAATTCTAATCCTCTCAATTTACCGCTGGAATTAAAGGCCTGTGACATCATGCCCAATTTACTGTGAAGTTTTTATTTTTATTTATTTTTTTCTTTTTGAGACAAGGTCTTGCTATGCAGTTCATGCTGGCCTTCGGCTCCCTTTGTAGCCTAGGCTGGTCTTATTGCAATACAGTGGTCCTCCTGCCTCAGCCTCTGGCGTGCTGGGATTTACAGGCATGCACCACCATGCCCTGTTAATTTTTTTGAGACAGGGTTGTGCTATATGGTTCAGGCTGGTCTGGACTCGCTGTGTAGCCCAGGCTGGCCTTGAGCTCTTGGCAATCCCCCTGAATCAGTCTCTCAAGTGCTGAGATTACAGACATGCGCCCACCATGCCTGGCTGCTATATATATATATATTTTTAAATAAGACTAGCTTGGGGCTGGGGATTTACCTCAGTGGCATAAGCGCCTGCCTTGCAAGCAGGCAGTCGTGAGTTCGATCCCTGGTACTGATAAAAGCGAAAAAGACAAGACAAAACAAAACAAAAAACTAGCTTTTCTAGTAATCCCTACATGGGGCTTAGGGGGATGAATATGGGAGTGGGGGTGGAGTAGGGTGCTGAAGCATGAGAATTGCCTTGAGTTCGAGTTCAGTCTGGGGTATCTAGTGAGTTTAAGGCCACCTTGAACTACAAAGCAAGACTCTCAAAACAAGTTCAGGTTCTATTGTATGGCTCTTGGCAGAACCATTCACTGCATTTTTGATCATACTGAGTAAAGACAAAAAAGGACTTAGAGAATTGTTTCAGAAAGTGACAAGAATGATGAAATAACTGTTAGGGGAAGTATTTTGAGGGGAATTTATTACAATGTGACTTAATTATAATACTTTTTAAAAATTTAAATCACACTTTTTGATTTTCACTTGTGTGAATTTTAGGGGAACACAGTTCAGCCCATAAGAGCTACCACAAGGCCAAATAACTTAATGATTTGATCGGTTCCGTGAAGCTGGACTATGGCATATGTGAAGCCTGGTTACTGTGGTGAGGTGGTTTGCTTTTATTTAATTTTGGACTTAATCTGGATTTGAAATATGTACAATTATACTTTTTTCTCTTTCTTCACACAAGTAATTCTTGGCCATTCAAGAAAAAGTTAAAGGCCTTTTCTCAGAATGAGTTTTATTTTTTCATTAAAGAGAAGTTTCAAAAAAGGCTAATAGAGTAACATTAATTAATACATTGTGTATTGTAATCTTAACAGTAGTTACTGAGAGTGCAAGATGTAGGCATGAAATATTGTTCAGACAATATTAACACAAACATTGTTTTTCTACTGGGGATCAAACTGACGACCTCTCACTTGCCAGGCAAGAACTTAGGACGCTGAGCTAAATCCCAAGCCCCACAAACCTTTCTTTTCAATTGACTGAGAAACTAGCTTATATAACTATCTTACTATATTGTCTGTGTGTGTATGTATATTTCCCTTTTCTCTTTCTTCCTTTCCCTTTTCTCCCATCAGTTTCTCTTCTTTTGAACAGTTTCTTCTCAGTTAACAGTTCTATTGTGCATTTTGGATCTTATTTTCTCATTCTGCTTCTCACGCTGTGAGAAAATACAGTGTTTACACATGTGGGTCTGATTTATTTCACTTATGAGTATGGTCTGAAGTTGCGTCCATTTACCTAAAAGTCTCAAGTTTATCCTTATTTATGGCTAGAATGAGTTTTATTAAAAAATTGTTTTCTCTTTGACCTCAGTTATTCTGATGCTTGTAGATCTTTGATTTAGGACTTGGTTAGTGTCTTGTATCTAGAATCCTGCTTTAGTAATCACTTTGCTATTACTGTTTCACCTAGCATCCATTGAAAAATTTTTTTCTAATGGATTAAATCCCATATTCTTTAATTGGAGTAACTATTCACACAAAAGCCATTGTTGTAACTATTTTAATGTATACAGTTTCATGACATTGAGTACATTTACTTGGTTGTACAATGGCTCTTTACTTAACTTTCAGAACATTTTTGTCATCCCTCAAGGAAATCGCATTGTTAGTAAGAACTCAAGATCATCTAGCTCTGCCAAAAGGAATAGGGTTTTAATCTAAAGAAAATCATAATTTCTTTCAGACTCCTTTATTTAATGAAGCAAATGTACAAATGCAGAAAAAATGGAAACTACAGTATTTCCTGTTTCTGAAGCAAAAATAATTGTGAAATGTTCTTAGTTTCTTTGCTTTATGTGTTTTTAGTGGTCTAATTTTGAAAGTATGCTCACATTTTTATTTTACGGTCATGGATATTTAGCATATAAGTTTGAATGTAGAGCACTACAACTGAAAAGCTCTAAAGTCCACATTCTCCCACCCCCCAATACTGGGCATTGAACCCAGGACTTTCATACTAAGCTACATCTCTAGCTCTTAAAAAAATTTTTTTTATAGGTAGCATCTTGCTAAGTTGACTAAGCTGGTCTTGTATTTGGGATCCTTCTGCCTTAGCCTCTCACAGTGCTGGATTACCAGCTTCCCTACTTTTCCCTTCCCCTCCCTGAGTTTCATTATGTTGTGTCTGTTGGCCTTGAATTTACTGTGTATTCCAGATTGGCCTTGAGTTTGTGACAGTCCTCTTGCTTCAGCCTCCTGAGTGCTGGGATTACAGGCATGCACCATCACTCCTAGTTTATGGTCAATATTCATACTTGTAGATATTAGCTTAATGTTGCTTTTTATAAATATGTAAATACACATATAGAACTTAAAAATAAGTTTCTGTATTACTTTATTTATACAGTTAGATATACATGCTTTATACATTAATTATATTGTGAAGTATGATAGTTCATTCCTAACTTAATGATTACTAGGAAATTTAAAAGCACAAAAGTCAGTTTTGAGACTTTAAAAAAATTAGATATGTTAAGATATGGTCTTTATGGGGTTGGGGATTTAGCTCAGTAGCTTTCGTGTGATTGTGAATTCGATCCCTGGTACCGGTAAACAAACAAACAAACAAACAAAATATGGTCTTTGTGATTATTTAAACAAAAAAAAATAGTCTGGACTACAAACATCCAAATAAAACCTTCATTTAAAAAAATACGAACTGTTGCCACCTAATATCTACCTTTTCTTTCCCACACACATAAACGTGCCTGCATATTTATACTTTGTGTTTTTTTCTTCCATCAGGCTGAATTTTATGTTTTGTTATGTTACTTTATTTTTGGAACTGGGGATTGAACTCACTACCTTGTGTATGCTGGGCAGGTGCCTGTGCCAGTGAGCTAAATTTCTGGCCCCAGGCTAAATTTTACATCAAATGAATATTAACACTTTCTCTGTGTTACAGTCTTTTTCAAATGTGTCACATTAATTTCATAGTTTAGGGGAAGTAAGTTGATTAAAAACTAGAAACAGTACATGTTAGGAAAGGGATAAAAGTGTAAAAAGCATTCATTTAAAAATGTTTTTTAGCCATGCGTACAGGTGTTCGTATGCAGTCCCAGTGCACAGGAGACTTGAGGCAGGAGAATGGTGAGATCACTCTGAGCTACAAAGAGAAACTTTGTTGAAAAAAGTAGAAAAAACAAAAAGCCCTCACAGACTGGGATGTTGCTCATTGATAGACTGCTTGTCTAGCATGCACAAGACCCTGGGTTTGATCCTTAGGACTATACGCAAAAAAGTAAAATATAAAATAAAATGTTTTCAGGCCATGTTCTGACTTCCGTAGTGAAAGTACTTTTTCCCTACCCTAGTGTCCTAGAAGGAAAACATCACCATGGCCACAGAAATTGGTTCTCCTCCTCGTTTTTTCCATATGCCAAGGTTCCAACACCAGGCACCTCGACAATTGTTTTATAAGCGACCTGATTTTGCACAGCAGCAAGCAATGCAACAGCTTACCTTTGACGGGAAACGGATGAGAAAAGCTGTAAACCGGAAGACCATAGATTACAACCCATCTGTAATTAAGTATTTGGAGGTAAGTGCAATGAATGTGCTTAAAATACACAAAATTTGAGTTTTTTTTTTTGAAGTTTTCTAAAGGTAGGATATACTTATATTGCTTGAATTAGTGGGATGAAGTTAATTTCAGATTTAAGGAAATCAGACCATCTCAGCATATTTTTTTAAACTCTGCATCTTGTCCTTGGCTTTCTTAATTCCTCTTCTTTTTTCTTTTTTTGAGATGGGGGTCTCACTATGCAGTTCAGGCTGGCCTTAAGCTCACTTGTAGTCCAGGCTGGTCTCGAACTCACAACGATCCTTTTACCTCAGCCTCCGGAGTGCTGGGATTATAGGCGTGAGCACAGGCATGAGCCACCATGCCCAGCTACTTAATTCCTCTTGAATTCTGCATCACCTTCTGAAAATTATTAGTTTCCATTTTAAATACAGGCTTTGTTCTAGTGGAGAGAAAGGAAAAGAAAGGATCAAGACATATTATGTACAGATACAAATTTTCTATGACAAATGTGATCATTGTGTATGGAAAATATGGAGTAATAAAAATTCTGAAAAACTTTGAAAAATTCATAGAAGAAAGTACTATACTTTAACCAACAGGTCAGCCTTAAAGCACTTATCAAACTCTGTACAAAGAATAAGAGATTACTAGCAGCAATATTTCTGTGAGAACAGAAATAAAAAAACTTTTTGTTTTGAAACAAAGTATCTTCCTATGTAGTTTGGCCTCACTGTGTAGCTCAGGTTGGCCTCAAGCTCCTGCCTCAGCCTCCCACAGTTGTGCCACCCTGCAGATTGCAGTTTTGAATATCAGAGGCATTGACCATGAAAGCATGGATTTTCCTGTATCTGAGATTTTGTAGTTTGCTGCAAAGAGCCATGTTTAATTAAGATTGGGCATCATTGTGCACATTGGCACAAACCTTAATCCCAGCACTCCGGGAGGCTGAGGCTGTAGAATCACAAGTTATTTTAGTTACTTTTCTCTTGCTGAGACAATACCTGATGCCCAAAGTTAAGGGAAGAAGGATTTATGTAGCTTACAATTGGTAGGGTGGAGGTTTCAGTCCATAACGGGCTCTAAGGAAGTGTGACTTGGCAGAGAACAGTTCATGGCAGGAAGACTGTAGCAAAGCATCAAGGGAGCCAGACAAGAGTCTTTCTGTCCCTTATATTGTATGTAGACTACCCACCCTGTGGCAGCTATAGAACTCACATCCTTTAATCCTAGCCAGAACTATGCCAAACCAATCAGTGGACTGATTTACTAATCACATAGCCCTATTCCCAGGATCACATTCTCTAGATTTAGCTCTGAAAAGCTCTATGACTGCATGATAGAATTTGATAGGAATTAAGAAAAAGGCAAGATATAGGAATCACTTTGTGGTGAGGGTTTTGGAATAATCAGGATGTTTGTCTTTCTCCTACTATTTCCTTTCATTAAGATATGGTTTGAAAAAGTATTGGAGTCCCCAGCATCTTGGTATATGTGCTGCCGAAGTATGCAATTCTCTAGCATCTTGGACGAATGGTGCTAGTGTGTGTAATTTGAGGAAGAAATTGTAGGCAGTTATTAGGAGGAAAGAGGGAACAGCTCTTCAAGATAACCAGTATTTCATAAGTTTTAAAAATTAATATTTTAAAGTCCTGTTTTCCTCTTATTTATAGACTATATTTTGTTAATAGTACTTTCACATTGAATATAATTAGATTGTATACTCACTAATTATTCTGTTTTCTTATATTAACAGAATAGAATATGGCAAAGAGACCAGAGAGATATGCGGGCAATTCAGCCTGATGCAGGTTATTATAATGATGTAAGTATAAAACATGTACCATCTTATTAAGACTTCTTTATTTTGACATTTAGGCCTAAAAATATGTGAATTCAAGTTGAAAGTGGTCTTCTATTTTTGTATTTTTGTAGTTGAAATGAACAATAAAAATACATATGAACGATGGATTATATTTTTTTCAGTTTAAATATTCCTGTATGTATGTATGTAGGTAGGTAGGTAGGTAGGTGGGTATGTGTTTTTGAGACAGGGTCTCTCTTTGCAGTTCAGGCTGGCCTTGAGCTCCCTTTGTAGCCTCATCTGGTTTCGAATTTGCAACGATCGTCCTGCCTCAGCCTCCCATGTGCTGAGATTACAGGTTTAAATATTTAAAACCATGCCTGGTTTTAAATATTCCTTTTTAAGATGAACTTTTGATGTGGGTCATAAAGCAGTATTCAACAAAAGATTGAACTACCTTTAAGTCTTGTAATAGGAGAAATTTATTGCAAACAAGTTTGTGTTGATTTTAAGGAGTAAATAAGAAATTCCTTGACAGTTAATGTGGTTTTTAGTTTTGTTGTTAAGTAATAATGGATACTTAACTTTTCTTTATGTCAGTTTTCTTGTAATCTGTTAGTAGTATTTGGCCAGGGGGAATAGTATCTGTTTCTGCATTTGCCTTTAGATGTTGAGGTAATCACCTTGCCAATGCCCTAATGTCTGTTCTGAATGTGATCAGGAGCTCTAAAAACAAAATTTTCTTTTTTTACAGTTGGTCCCACCTATAGGAATGTTGAATAATCCTATGAATGCAGTAACCACAAAGTTTGTTCGGACATCAACAAATAAAGTAAAATGTCCAGTATTTGTTGTAAGGGTAAGTATCCTATTGGATAGTTTTTAGAAAAATCAATTGTGAGGGTGGGGAGGTGTCTCAGTGGTAGAGCTCTTGCCTTGCATGCACAAGGCCCTGGATTTGATTCCCAGCACCACATAAAAAAGAAAAAAGAAAAAAAAAATCAATCCTGAGTTAGTTTACAAATTAGAAATTAGGTGAAAAATTAGAAATTATTTTAAATGTGTATGTGGGATAATAATAAGCTTGTTACCAGTAATTTTATTTTGAAATATTCCCTTTGTCCTTGGTTAGTAAAGTACTACTTAAAAATTGTTTTTCTTTTTTTCCTCTTTTTGTTTTTGTATTACTTATTTTTTTATCGGTTTGAGACACGGTCTCACTGTGCAGTTTAGGCCAGACTTGAGTTTACTCTGTAGTCCAGGTTAGTCTCGATTTCTCAGTGATCCTCCTGCCTCACTCAGCCTCTTGAATGCTGGGATTACAGGTGTGCACCACTAAGCCTGGCTTTGAAAATTGTTTTTCTTCATGTTGCAATTTCTATAAAATACTCTCTGAATTTTTATTTACATGAACAGTGCAGCAGGCTCAGAGTTATTCACTAGCTCAGTAGTTCTTTCGTTACAGTTGAGAAAGCAACATTGGAAGGTGAGTGATAGGCTGTTAGGTGTTAGAAGGAGAGAGACATCTGAACAGAGGTGAAGAACTGTGGTGTGTGAATCAGCTCCATGAAGGTGCTCAATATGCTTTCATTGAAATTTTGAAAATGTAGCTTTATAATGAATGCATTCACATGATTCAAAATTAAAATTTGGAAGTATTTGCAAGGACAAATTTTCTCTTTCTAGATATTCAGTTACAGTTTATGTAGATGATAGTCTCTAATCATTTTGTGAATTATTCCATTTCCTAAAAATATACTGGTTATTAATATTCAAAGTTACAGGCTGATAAATAGTCAAAACTGAGCAAATAACAGTTGAATGAAAATATCAAACAGAAAGATGACAGTGATAGCAAATGAGAAAAATATGGAATCTTTGGATACTTGAGCATTTCAATAGAAAATGGAGAGAGGTCGGGCTTCATAAAACTGTACAAGAGAGCTGGATGTGGTGGTGCATGTCTGTAATCCCAGCACTTGAGAGGCGGAGGCAGAAGGAGTGTTGTGAATTTGAGACTAGGCTGGACTACCTAGTGAGCTCAAGGCCAGCCTGAACTACATAGTGAGACCTTGTCTCAAAAAGATACACACACACACACACACACACACACACACACACACACACACACACACAAGTGGTTTGAGAGCCAAATAGAAGTTTCTATTTGGCTTTCAGACCTATGCGGTATATATACAGTAAAGAAACGCTTTTATGTAAGTAGCGCCTACCAGTATGTAGCATAATTTTCTTTCTTTTTCTTATTTTTCTTCTCTTTTACTTCTGTTTTCCTTTTCCTTGTGCTGAGAATCGAACTCATGACCTTGTGCTTGCCAGGCAGGCACTTAGGCTACTGAGCTTTATCCCTAGCCCTGGCATAATTTTCCTTTATTAGGGTGTTGATCAGTGAGGTATGACGGGCAGTGGATTTTATTATACTGTTAGCATAATATAGAAAACCTTTTTCAAATGAATGAGGTCTGAATATCCTTTGTTTTGTTAAGTGAATGAATAAATGTTCTTATTTGGGAATCACATTGTGAGGTCTTAGGAAAATTTGCCCATTTTAAAAGTACAGTTCATAGCACTCAGGAGGCTGAGGCAGGATGATCATTGTGAGTTGGAGGCCAGCCTGGTCTGCATAATGAGACCCTGTCTCAAAAGGACAAAAAAAAAGTTCAAATTAAGAAGCATTGAGAAATAAAAACTGGATTCTGTGTGTATAATTTGGTTCACTGCAGTATTAACTAGATTGGGATCTAAAGCAGATTAGAAAAAGATCTAGGAAGATAGGAAGTTTTAGTTCATAGTAATCAGAATGGATATACTAAGCAATAAAATGTAATTGGCATGTACTAGTACAATTTACCATGAACACTTCATTTTAAATATTCCATCTTTCTCTTCCTTTGAACACACATGTATTTTTTAATTTCTTGTCAATTTTTATTTTGGAGAATAGGATTGTTGTAATTTGTGTATTTGTACCCTCTTATAAGTATAATCCATCATAGGAACTGAAAATTTAAAAAGAGTGCTTTGTATTTTGAATTGATTATCTTGCCACAGATTAGGTTCAGTTTGTTAATTAGGACATTAAAATATTTGTGTAGCGTTAGTCAGTGATTCTAAAGGATGAAGTTTTGACATTAGATCGGCATAAAAATTATCACTGCTTAGCACTAGGAACAGTGGAGAGCTTACAAGTTTTAAGTACATTTAGTTGCAGGAAAAGTTCGATAGCCTTAAGCTGATTTTGTTTGTTTTAATTACGTACTAGTAACACTGTGTTGATTGAATAGCAGTTGATTGAATAGCAGTTGTAAGGTACTGAATACAGTCTTTCTGAATTTTCTGGTTACTATCTCATTTATGGTAGGCTACTGTATAGCCTAATATGAGATCTTTGTACATTTTCTTTTGAAATGCTCTTTAGAATGTATACGTAGACACTCATAATGCACTTTTTAAAAATTTAATGAATTTATTTTTTTCAAATCCATTTCATTCAAATATAAAAAGAAGAAAAAAAACTACAATAAAATTTCAAAGCCCATTAATCAAGGGTTAACAATGGTACATACATTGTGCATTGTCATCCCAAAATCATTTACCTATAGCATCTAATTTAATGAATTGAAATGCTGGAACTTTTCCTATATTGTGTTATTATAAATTGTTTTTTAAAGCTTTTTACTTTAAAATAGTTCCAGTTATATTCTTTTAAGTTTTTTGTGTCAGTATATGTTTGTAGTATATAATAATTACATTCATTTTGGAGAGTTGGTACATGTATATAACACGTCTTAATTCTTTTTACCCCTCCTTGTCCTTTCCTTCCCGTAAGTTATTTTCTAACAAAATACTTATTTATAAAGCTGAGGTGCTCCAGTGAAAGTCGTTATCATCTAGTTAATGTTAATTACTGCATCTATTATAAATATTGTGTGAATGTTTACAAAATGAGAAGTTGGAGGATTTGTGGTTACAATTAACTGTTTTGTCCTTCTCCCTCAGTGGACTCCAGAGGGAAGACGATTAGTCACTGGAGCTTCTAGTGGGGAGTTCACCTTGTGGAATGGACTCACTTTCAATTTTGAAACAATATTACAGGTAACAGTAATCACTAAATGGTAATTTATGCTGTGATACTTTAAAGAATCTCAGATATGGGCTCCATTATTGCCATTGTGAAACTTAACTGGTATAATTTATTAGTGCAAGTTAATATATGCTCCTCCAAGCCTTCAACGATACATTCTTTAAAGCATTACCTTATAAATGATTTTTGTTTTCACAGGCTCATGATAGCCCAGTGAGAGCCATGACTTGGTCACATAATGACATGTGGATGTTGACAGCAGACCACGGAGGATATGTGAAATACTGGCAGTCGAACATGAACAACGTCAAGATGTTCCAGGCACATAAGGAGGCGATTAGAGAGGCCAGGTTTATACACAATATACCATTTTCTGTAGTCCCTATTGTCATGGTTAAATTATTCTCTAAGTGTATGCTGGGTGCAGAGATGCATGGGCTCTGTCAGAATCTGGGAAGCTTTCTGCACCCTATGAACACAAAATTTTTCTTTGTTTTCACATATTCACCATTTTGCTGGCACCTTTCTGAAGTAGCATTGTCCTGGTATCAGCTTTTGCAATATGTTAGAGATGTATTGTCTGCCGCATTTTACACTGGTTTTCTCTTTTCATTTATGGTTAATAATGTGTATACTTTATTCCTTTTTATTATCTACTGTGTAAGACAAGAATATTTTATTCCAAATAAAGAATTCAGTCTTTAATTATACAGCTGAATAAAATCTAAAGCCTACAGAAAACACTTTCAGAATTCACACAAAATACAAGGAAAAAAGGCTTAAGTGAAGACCTGGTTGGCTTGGTTATGCCACGACTTCAAAAAGAAAGCATAGGACTAAAAACCTCTCACAGCTAACTCCCTGGATGTGGCAAACATTTATGGATTAATGAATGGGTTCTTCAAGCTTTGCAGCTGTAAGCAGATCTTTGTCAAGAAGACTCTAGAACTTTTCTTCTGATTCACTGTTAACATCAGTTATGCAAATGTATAAGTGGGGTTTAAAATATTTTCAGTGAGTTGTATACATATCAACAAGATACATGCAGTAAAACTGGAAAGGAAAGTTGCAAAAACAAGCCTGAAGAATTGCTGCAGCCTCAGAATAAAGCTAAGCAGCATTCTTTAAGGTTGTGCCACCTACCTATGAGAGGAGTTGACTCTAGAAACACTCTCCACTGCAGTCACTTGTTTCTATTTTCAGAGGCAACAGAAATTATTGGATATACCTGGTTCTGCTTTGTAGACTTGACATTAGTGTCATGCTCATACATTTTCACAGCTGGTTCATTCTTAGTCATAAGATTTAAAAGTTCAAGGAAGTTCTTAATGATTCATTAAGAAGCTTGATGGTTTTTCACTATTGGGAAGAAAACTGGCTCCCTCTTGCACAGCAGATTCTTTGGCTTTAAGCACAAGTGTGAAAGTCCCATTCTTCTGTGATTTAAATGTCTGTGTAGGAATTTTTCAGAAATATAATTCAGTTTCCACACCTAAGGCCACTCTGTATTTTGCTGGTTTGACAGGAAATATACTAAGAAGACCAGAGATAGCATTAGGGCTAATAATACACCCATGAAGTTCCCTGAATATTGATAATTGAAAACAGAAACAACTGTTGAAGTCTTCCTTTGATGAGATGCATATGTTAGCAACATTCTCTTTAAGGACTTCTTCACTGGATACTTCCTCTCCTGTTATAATGCAGCATAGTGTTTTTATTTTTCCCTGTCTGAGAAGCACAGATAATCTGTTAAATGCTGACTTCTTTCCCCTGCTGTGTGTCTTCATGTAACAGTTTCTCACCCACGGATAATAAATTTGCTACATGCTCTGATGACGGCACTGTTAGAATCTGGGACTTTCTTCGTTGCCATGAGGAAAGGATTCTTCGAGGTATGTGTGCTAACAGTACTGATTGGAATATATAAATAGGGACCCATTTGTGGTGAAATCATCACAATAGCACAGTAGCAGCTTACATCTCCATTCAGTTTTTTACATGTACACTGTCTCAGACTTGTTAAAAAGTCATCCAGACTCGCTCTCTAGTTCACAATCATTTTATAGATTTTTATTAATATTATCTTTGAAATCTTTCCACTGTGAATTAAACATAAAACTTCCCTTCTCCCATTGTATGCTTTTATCTTTATGCATCTTTTAGGATTATATTCCTTTTCCTGTGTTATACCCAAGATATCTTTTCTCAACATTAACACTAATTTTATTTAAATAGGTCACATTCTTTGGACATCCCTTTTACAGTATAAATTAACTGATAAAAGTGGAGGTATCAATAGCTGCACACCTGGGTGTTTCTATTTCTAAAAGCAATTGGAATTTCAGTGTGCCATATTTGTACTAGGGTTTACTTACATTGATTTTATAATTACAAATGTATCTATGAATTTTTCCTGTGCTACAAAAGAAATTATTTTTCCACTTGGAATACATTTGACTTCATAAAGAGGGACTGTTAAAAACACCAACTATTAACCAGCACCATTTATGTGAATTCTAGAGCATTAACTATGTATTATACATATGTAATACAAGAATTGCAACAAAAACATACTTCTGACTAAATTATGTTATTCACTAGAATGTAGTCTCACATTTTTTAGTTCAAATTGCCTGTCTCTGACACCTAATGCAAGAAGGGAACATGGGTGCCACAGATACTGGATGTTAAAAAATTATTCATCTATTTCCCTTTATGTTTAAGTAGAGTTAGTTCTTTTGGTGAAATTGTGAGGTTTGGCTTTCTTTTTTTTTGGTCATTTTCCAATAAGATTTCTCTATGCAGTTTAGGCTGTCCTTGAACTCACTTTGTTGCCTAGGCTGACCTCATAAACTTGCAGTGATTCTCCTGCCTCAGCCTCATGAGTGCTAGATTACAGGCGTGAGCCACCATGCCCAGTTTTGAGTTTCTTAAAACTATTCAGAGTTTCATGTGCAGCATGTAATGTTGATTTCTAGATAAGAAAATGACCTTTGAATATTTTAGCCCATATTTCAAAGATACTCCAGGATCTTTGGATACATTTGTTTACACTCCCTGGTTTTGCAGTTTTATTGGGGTTTATCTGCAAGTCTGTGTCATTAGCTAGCACAGGGACACAGTTCCTGTTATGTTGAGGAAACATGTGCACTGTGAAGGTCGTAATAACCATACAACCTCAAAATGAGATTGAAACCATCTAGTCTTGAGTTATTTCATGGATGCGTATCCTAACACAGGAAGTATGACACATGCAAAGTAAAATCAGTACAAAGTAAACCTGAATCTCATCATTTGACTCACACCCTAAAACTCCAGCATAATTTGGTCGACATGTAAGAATTGAGATGTATTCATTAGGATTATTCTAGACTTTTAAACAACTTTTTTTTTTTTGGTCTTTTTCATCTTTATCGGTACCGGGGATCGAACTAATTATTCTAGACTTTTACATGGAAATCCCAAATATGGACAAAAGTATAATGAATCTCCATATATTTTTAGGATTTATATTCTCAATCATTTCTTTTACTTTCTCATGAAAAATGTTTTACTTGATATTTATAACGTTGTACTTAAATAAAGCAAATATAAATAAATTAATTGTACTACCCAAGCAGAGTCACTGCAGCAGCAGAACATCAGATGACAGTTGTTTTTTCTAAACTAAGACCTTAGTGTTTAGGTGTATTAATTGCAGTGTTGGCATATTGCAGTAAATAAGTGGGTTTTGGGTTGCAGTTTGGGCACTTGGTCTCTAAAAGGTTCACCATCACTGGACTATAGAATCTGACAGGCACATTGCTTTGTTCATGTTGTACACCAGGCCCTTGGTTTGGGGGTTCAGTATTTTTAAAAAGCTGAAAAAATTCTTAAGGAGTTTGTGATAATGTGGTCTTCTTTGTTGCATACTTTTCTACATCATCCTTTGAAACCTGTATACACATAATTACTTGTTTAGTTTTAGACATCTTTAATTTTTTTATAATGTTCTTTCCTTGTATCAGACAGCTCCTTGACTACAACTTGTCCTGCTTTATGGAATGCAAAAAAAGTTTATTTCCAATACAGCAGTTCATTAAGTATTAGAAGACAGCACTCATGTCTTCAGCTTTAAGCAATGAGAGTATACTTGTTTTTTGTTTGTTTGTTTGTTTTCTTTGTGTGTTTTTGTTTGTTTGTTTGTTTGTTTTTGAGAGAGGGTCTCAACTACATAATCTAGTGTGGTCTTGAACTCACTATAGAGCCTAGGCTGGGCTCAAGCTCACAGGAATCAAATACAGGGATGTACCACCAAGTCTAGTGATGATAGTGTTTTTTTTTTTTCCCCCTATTTTTTTGGTACCGGGGATCAAACTCACGATCTTGCACTTGCCAGGCAGGTGCTTATACCACTGAGCTAAATCCCTATCCCTGTTAGTATACTTTTGAGCACAGAATTTACAGTTGGCTTTTAATGTTAAAAGTATTCTAGGATTTAAAGTGGGTGTACATCTGTTGTTAGGAGAGCTGCTATGCAAAAGGATTTGTTGATTCATAGGTTGAAAAAACAAGGTATTTATGAAATTGAATCAACCACATTGAGAGTACCATGTTTATGCCCAGTCACTACAAAAGCATGTGTAAGTCACTGATGCAACAGAGATAAACTGAGGGAGGGGTAGGGGCTGGGGATTTAGCTCAATGGCATAAGCGCCTGGCTTGCACGCAGGCAGTTGTGAGTTCGATCCCTGGTACCAATTAAAAAAAAAAAAGACCAAACAAAAAGATAAACTGGCATGATACTTCTTTTACTCTCCATCTAAAATCTAAAACTGTGCCTGTCATATAATTTTTTAACCTTTTTTTTCTTTTTTTTTTTTTTTTTTTTTGTCTTTTGAGACAAGATTTCCCTATGCAGTTCACCCTGGTCTTGAACTGACTGTGTAACCCACATCTGGCCTCTTAGTGATCCTCCAGTATCATCCTCCAGAGAGCTGGGATTACTGGGGTGTGAAACTACGCCCTGCTGAAATAACATTTTAAACACCAGGAGTGTATGAGACTAAAGGAGTATCTAGCTTACTATTACTTTATACATTTGACTCAAGTAAAGTAGCATACATTTATTTAATAAGTAAGCATATCCCTATTTAGGCAGAAGAATTGTGTGATCCCTACTGTCATACTTCTTACAGTTTTATAGGTAAGATATTTTCACAGGTTTAAGTTTGGTCACATAAAAGAAGAGCCATGTGATAGAATTATACTTTTAGTGCACAGAGGATGAAGTAGACCACTTCCTACTGACTAGCTGAAAGTATAGAATCAGTAAAAATATTGAGATAAATTTTAGTGAGAGGATATATCTAGATCTATCTGTATCTATATAATTTTTTTTTTTTTTTTTTTTTTTTTTTTTGGAGACAGGATCTTGCTATGTAGTCCAGGCTGGCCTTGAACTCATTGTAGTCCTCCTGCTTCAGCCTTTTATGCTGGGATTATTAGGCATGCATCACTAGACCCGGCCTTGGGTCTTGTATTCTTAAAAAGAATCTAGTTCAGAAGCTCCAATGTGTTTGAATTTGTTTTACCTTCTTGATTTTAGCATTAACTCCAACACATTCATTACTTTTACTATCAGGAATGTTGTAAGTACTTCATTCCCTTTGAAATAAATAGTTCTTCCTTTTTTTTATAAATGAATCAACCAAGGTACCAGGAAGTTAAATAAACCTGCCAAAGATCATGGAGTATGTAAGAGCGCTAGGGTTTTAATCTAGGATGTTTGACTTGAGTTTATCTTTAGCTACTAGGTTACAGTGTTTTTTTTACATGCACATGCGCACACACACACACACACACACACACACACACACACACTGAACCCAAGGCATTGTATGTGCTAGGTAAGTTCTCTACCACTGCGTTGCATCCCCCATCCTTTTTAGGTTGAAAAGAATGCTAGCCTGAGCTAAGTTAGACAGAAATTAATACACAGAAAGAGATGTGACTCTCAAGTCAGTGATAAATACAGATAATCAGAATCGTGGCTAGAGGCACATCTGAAGAAGGCCAGGCCTCCAGATAATGTCACAGTGGCCCAGCTTTTACATTACCCCAAGGGATAAGCAGAACTGTAATCAGTACCACCTCATCCATTAAGTCCAAGTATGTGTCAGATACCTGAGTAGGTGACCAGAACACCTCGGTCCATCCCTTCCTGAAATGTTCCTGTTTTAGAAGTCATGGATAAGCCAAAGTTAATGGTGCCAGCCTTGTGCCCTTGCTACTGGCCCTGCTTCTCTGTTGCATCAGTATGAGTTAAGTGGCTGTACTTATAATCCTGTATGTCAGTGGTGATGAACCTGTGGCATGTATACCTCAGTGGCATGCAGAGCCCTCTGTCAGCAAGTAAGCCTAGTCACTCCAGCAGCTGTCCCTCAGTTTATCTTTTTGTTTGGTCTTTTTCTTTTTTATTGGTACCGGGGATCAAACTCACAACTGCCTGCGTGCAAGCCAGGCGCTTATGCCATTGAGCTAAATCCCCAGCCCCTACCCCTCCCTCAGTTTATCTTAATGCCTTCCTTTAATAATCTCTGTAAAGATTATGGATTTTGAACAAATGACATACTTAACCACAAAAAACATTAAACTCACCACACAGCTCAAGGAAAAGAAATGTCTTGTATTTGTGATAAGTTTCTGTATGCTTCTGCACTACATTCAACTAGCTTTTGTTAAGAGACATGAACTACTGCTACAAAATTTTTTTGGTCCAGCCCTGTGTTTTTGAACTATGTATAGACATATTTTCAGAGTGTTGGGTGTTCCAAGAAACTGATATTTACTAGAAGTAATTTTACTTATTAAAATATGTCTTCCTATAAGGCCTTACGGAACATTCACAAAA